TTGTTCTTTTAATCTTTCACCACAATCATATTCGTATTTTTTTCTCATTTCATTAATTCGTTCGATTTCATTTTTATAATTTTCAATCAAATTTTTAACTTCTTTTTCATGATTTTCAATTATTTTCTGGTAAAGACCGATTTCATTTTTATGATGTTCTTTCGTTTCTTGTTTTTGTTTTTCATAGGTTTCTGTGAGTTCATTAATTCTTTCAATGAGTTGTTTTTTAGTGATGTTTCCCCCAGACATTCTATTGGTTTAAAACATGTTAATTACAAGACTATTGATCATAACTATTTTAGAAAATATATATTTACTCGTTAAAAAAATCGTTAATTCGTTGAGATATCTCTGATAATTTCATTTTTTCTTCTATTGTTTTATGCAGGTTTATTTATGAGAAGTAAAGTAAAAAATCGATTGTTTTTATATTTTTTTTAAAATTATTTTTAATTAGTTCTAGATAAGAATTTTAAGATTTTTAATTTGAGTTTCGAATTCAGAATTATGAGTGAATAAAACCAGAAAAGGAATTTACATAAAACTCCTTTCGAAACAAAAAAGATTGATAAAATTTATACATGATAGAAATTAATTTGGTAAAATCTTACTCAATTCCACTTTTAATCAATTCTTTTGATTCGTTTTTATTTAAAAGAGGCTTATCAGTTTTATTTTGTAAAAGATCTGCTAGAAATTTAGAATATTCGAATTCATTTTCTTAATCAGATAATATAATCTCACATTTTTACTTTTTGTCTTAAAACGATATTCGTACTCAACATGTTGTGTATTGTAGTATACTTTAAGTTTTTGATATTCAATTTCCATTTTTATTTTAATTCGTTTTTTATAAAGCCAGAAAAGGAACTTTCAGAAAGTTTCTTATCTTTGTGTTCGAAAAAATTCACACACACAGATAAGATTTAATAAAGCTAGAAAAAGAACTTTCAGAAAGTTTCTTATCTTTGTGTTCGAAAAAATTCACACACACAGATAAGATTTAATAAAACCAGAAAAGGAACTTTCAGAAAGTTTCTTATCTTTGTGTTCGAAAAAATTCACACACACAGATAAGATTTAATAAAGCTAGAAAAGGAACTTTCAGAAAGTTTCTTATCTTTGTGTTCAAAAAAATTCATACACACAGATAAGATTTAATAAAGCCAGAAAAGGAACTTACAGAAAGTTTCTTATCTCTTTGATCAAATGATCGAAAAAAAATTCACACACACAGATAAGATTTAATAAAGCCAGAAAAGGAATTTACAGAAAGTTTATCTTTTGATCAAATGATCGAAAAAATTCACACAGATATTAATAAAGCCAGAAAAGGAATTTACAGAAAGTTTATCTTTTGATCAAATGATCGAAAAAATTCACACAGATATTAATAAAGCCAGAAAAGGAACTTACAGGAAAATACTGAACCAATAAAATTATATATTGATAATCAAATTTCGAATTCAAATCTATGTAATTATAGTTTATTTTTAGAATTTTCTAGCAATTTCTTCACAATAATAAAAATTGAGCGAAAAATCTTTCTTTCTCTTCACGAATTCATTCGTTTATAAAATAATAAAATAAACACGTTTTACCAATTTACAAAATAATAAAATAAACAAAATGTTCCCAAAAATCCTTGTAATTTTCATTTTCCTTTGTGTAATCCTTGGTTTGTTTTTCACAAACCTTTTTTCCGGTGAATATCAAAATGATATTTACCAGTCTTTGAACAACTTTTTTTCATCCAAAATATTTTTTTGGATTTTGGTAATTGTTGTAAATATTTTAACAACTATTATTATTGGAATTTATCAATTTTGGTTCTGGAATACTTTAATTAAACATTTTCCAGAACAATTTCTTTATTAAACAAGATCAAAACGGTAAATCTTAACCGTTTTGAACGTAAAAAAAGACACTTGGAAATTGTTATTTTCCAAGATTGAAAAAATTCGAAGAAACGTCGATAGAAAATATCTCGAAATTCTATCCGTCAAGTTTACAAATTACTGGAGAAGATTTTATGGTTTCTTCTAATTAAAGAACAAACATTTTTCATATTTGACGAGAAAAACTTCGGTGATTTTAAATACGAATGGAAAGATTGTGATTTTCGATACTAGAGAAGATTCTATTTATATTGGTACTGGTATCGTCGATATGAGAACCACTATAGATTATTTATTATCGGTGAACTGCTATAGATAATTTATCGGCGTATCTTAAAAAAATAAGAATTTGGTCGGGTTAAAAGATTTTACGACCCAAGAATTCACAAGAATAACAACGAATTGAACAAGAAAGAACATTTTATAGCTTCTTTTAATTGAAGCTGACAAATTTGATACTTTGTTTAATCTTCGAGTAGAAAATAAGTTTTTAATTTTAACAGATTGTTCAACAAAACTTCCATTCGAATACGAAAGTTTCTTGAAATTAGTTTATAAAATATTAGTCTTTGTTAAAAAAATCTTTCAAAAATTAGTCTTCTTCAACCGACAAGCCAACGGTCAGTTTAGTAATAAAGTTTAAATTTTCTGAAAGTTCCTTTTTCTAGCTAATAAATTAAATCAATAAAATAATAAATTTTTTAACAAAAAATTATCGTAATGATTGTATAAAATCTTAAAATTTTATTTTAATAAATAAAATAAAAAACATTTATTTAATCTAAAAATTTAAATTTTATTATATTTAAAAAATCGATAATTGATTCTTTATATTTACCTAAAATAAACATTGTCACTATTCCAAAGAAACCCCAAAATTTCTCTTTTAAAAATAAAATCAAAACCTCATTATCTTTAATTAATAATAAAAATAAGACTATAATAATAATTATTGTTAATATAAAAAATTTTTCATCTTTTTGTTTTATTATATTTAAAATTAATTCGTCTTTTCGTTCACGTTCTTTTCGTTCTTGGTTACGTTTTTGGTTTTTGTATTTCTTTCGTTCCTTAAATTGTTTGAATGAGCACGTTTCAGCTTCCGTTTGTTCTGATTGATCCGATTCTTCATTAGGCTGATTTTGTTCATTATTTAATTCATTCATTCTATAAAATCATAAACGATTAGATTATTTTTAATGATTGTTTCTTGTTTCAGAAACAAATACCTATTAAACAAGAGATCAAGACGGCGTTTTGACAAGATCAAAGCTGTCTCCATTTTTGTTTATAAATAAAAAGATGATTACTAATTTATATAAACCCAATTAAATTTATAAATAAAATTTCCAAATCAGAATTTAACGGATTTGGATTGATAAGCTTTTAAAGGAAAAATTAAAAATCGGATTACAGCTCCGATTAAAAGATATAAAAATCAGCTTAGCTGCATTAATATGCATGCAATTTAAAAATGGATTTTGTTAATGAAACAAAGGAATTTATTTTTAACGAACAAAAAATCTTAAAACTAAAACGTAAAGTAAAGAACCAAAGAAAAATCGTAAAGTATAAAAAACTTTATGAAAAGTACAAAGAACTTTATATAAAAGAGAAGAAACAAAATGAAGAATATGTTTCTCTTTTGAATGATGCTCGTGACATTTTTGGGAATTGTTGGGTGAGTTTTCTTAACGATGTTGAAGAAGCAAAACAATTTGATGATTATTCAAGGTATTTTGTGAACGATGTCTTAAAAGATGGTCAAGTCGAAAATAAAGAAGTTATCAACTTAACAAATAAAGATGGTGTCATCGATAAGGTTGATGAGAAAGAAGTTGATTACGAATACTATCTTAACTTTGATAATACAAATTTATTCGATGATTGTAGTTTCATGCAGTACTTTGAACACAATCATAACTCTATCGATAACGATTCATCATCAGTATAATTTATCAGTGTATCTTAAATATATTTGGAAATTTTATTGTTATAATAAAGTATTTATATTGAATAAAGTAAATATCGCAGTTGAATTTTGTCTATAAAAAATGGCTCAAGTTCCTCCTTTGTTCTCTACGATTCATTTCGTTGATTTTTATATATTTTTTAAAAAAATCTTTTCAAAATCTCAAAATCTTTATTTTAAAATAAAATGTCTAACTATAACTCTGAATCTGAGGATGGTTTGAATTATTTAAAACGAACCATCACTCAAGAATATATCAACACGAATAACAAATTAAAGAAATTTGAAGAAACAATTTCTTTCTATCGAAATTGTTTATTCCTTTTATTCATTCTATTTATAATAGTCGTCTGTATTGGCGGCTATTATATAATTCATTTAAACAACTTAAACATGCAACTTCTTCGTTCACAAGTTGAGGTTGAAGTTGCAAAAGAACTTTTCAACAAGAACATCGATTTAATAATCGATTTCTTGAATCAATATCGGCTATAAATCAAACGAGTCGATAAAACAAACTTGGAATTTTTTTAAACAATTAGAAATATTCGTTTTCTTTAATTAATTTATTTTATAGTTTATATAATTATACAAATTTATTTACATGTAATAATTAGAACTAAAATCCCAAAACCCTTCTTTATCTATAACCCTTCCGTTTCTTGCATATTGGCTCACAATTATATCTTTAAAATTTTCATTTCGAACAATTTTATATGAGCCTTCCAACTTCCATTTAATATTCAAGTCTGTTGCTCGACGAACTCGAACTGGAATCTTTTCAACATTTAATCCTCTTCGGATTGCTTCTTGGAATACGTAAAGCCGACGGTTATCTGAAGAGAAGATCATATCATCGATAATGCAGACTTGGATATGTGGGAAATCTTCAATTTGAATACTGCCATTAACAAGTTCGTCAATGGTTTCTTTGACGTTTCCACCGTTCTGAAAAGAAGAGTTTATCGTCGATTGGCTGAATAAAATTTCGAACGGGTTTATCTTTGTCGTATAATCTCCGTCAGCCAACTGTAATTTATATATAAGGATTCTTGTTCGAAGGAGTAGAAGAGCTCCAAGAATCCAGACAAATATAAATAAAAAAGGAGCCAGGAAAAGAATTAGAATTAACAAAGTTAATTCTATTTGATAGTTTACGCTTAATTCGACAAGCGTATCTTGAGAAGAATCAGTTGATCGATTCTCTTCTACTGTTGATTGTATCAAGCTATTTGAAGAATCTTCTTCAAATTTTTCAGAATCGACTGTATAGGTGGGTCGATCTTCGATATCATCCCAGAAGTTTTCATCTTCTTGGGAAATATCGTTCCAATGGGAGTTCATCTCATCTTCCCATTGTTGATATATTTCATTGTTTTCATGTTTGAAAGTAATTTCTTCTTCGAAAACAATGTTTAGTTTTTCATCTTTTTTTTGTTTCTTGTCAGTGAGTTTTTTGAAGAAAGACATTTAATTTTAATAGTAAAATTTTATTAAGTTGTAATTTAAAATGTGTTTGGTTAGAAAGTACTGTTTAAATAAAATTTTCTTATCAAAATTAATATTACTAAATAAAGTTTATCGAGTTAATATTTCTAAGTGAGATTTCATTGAACTAGTGAATAATTCTTAATTTTTCTTAAAAGAAAATAATTTTATCAACAAGACGCGTTCTCAAGTTTATCCAATTTTGGAAAAATTAAAAAATTAAATAATAAACGTGTTTAAACGTGAAAATTGTTTTCCACATACATCATGGGATTCTTATCAAAAAAAAATTATAAATAAACAGGTTTTC